TTTTTTCCACTCTTCTTCTTCTTCTTCTTCGTGTTAATAAGAAAAGCGCAAGCGATCAAGACTTCTTGCAAACGGAGGCCACAGCGCCCGGACGAGCTTTTCTCCGGCGCGGCAAGATCTCTGCGGCCCCGGGGCAGGGCGGAGCGTTCGAGGGGAGCGCGGGGGGCGGCAGCACCACGGACAGCTCCAGCTCTCCAGCTCCCCCGGACAGCCCCGCCTGCCGCTACGGGCCGGGCCGGGCGTGTTCCCCACCGCCTCCGGCTTTCCCCCGCTCCGGGGGCAACCCCTCTGCCCCCGGGGCTAACCCTAAAAATACCCTTTGCTGAACGGCCAGCATCTCCGCGCGGGTGAAATGCGATGTCGGTCCGTTGTCCTCCGCATTTCGTGGGCCGCTTAGCGAGCCCTCACTTCAGCTACCAGAAATTGGTGTTACAAGGGAGCTAAAGGTTTCTTGGGTCTTACTGCACGTGGTATGGTGCAAAGACTCTGAGGAGGTGAGAAGACTCCACTTTTTCGTTCAGGTATGATTCACAATCCTGAGATTAGTTCAGCTGGTTAGAGCACGGTGCTAGTAATTCCAGAGGTCAGCCTCCATACAGGCCAACTCCAATATTTAGAGTTGGGTCCCTTCCAATAAAGAGTTGTGGATCCCTCCCAGCTTAGAGTCTGTGTTTTTTGAGGTTATAATTACCCTTGCTTCTTTCACTGTGAAGTACCACAAAAGTGAAATATTTCCTTACCTCAGCACAGGAACGTGACCTTTGATGGACACATGGGATCTCTAAGCTCATTCTCAGGATGTTTGCCTCGTATTTCTACTCTATATCGCCATTCTCTGCTTTTTAAACCTTTACCAATCATACTATCTGCTTGTTTAGCTGCATCTTAAACAATTAGTACACATTATCAAAATTATTAATTACTTTCTTGGCATAACGCTTCAGAAAGGTGCGGCTGTACTACTGAGAAAGCAATCTGTTTTCAGTAAGAAACAGTGCAGGCAACTTCCACCACCAGCTAACAGAGGAGTGGTAACCAGTGTGGCCAAAGACTGTCTATGTAAAGGTTACATTTGTGGATTTATTTGCAATATTTGGAGAGTTCCTATAATTGAAGCAGGCCTAGTGCCAAATCCTGCTTCTTCATTCCACTTTGCTACTGTTTCTGTGCTCAAATAGGTGGAGTTTAAGTCTGGATAAAGAGTTTCTTGATATAAATTGTTGTTTCTGGTTAATTAATTGAGCATTTAAGTGTGATCCTGTGACTTCCTAGCATTTGAGTTTGGCTTTTTGTTTGTTTTGTTTTGTTTTTCTTTGCTCTTTTATTAATGAGTTTCCCATCCAACCACTCGGTGCCATAAAAATGAGAAAATAAAGATTTTTCAGAGCTTTATGTTAAATAGAAAGAAACATTCGGAGTAGTTTCATCTATATACTCTGGTATGAAAATAATGTTTAAAGAAAGATAGGTTTTCTACTCATTTGTTTAATTCATTACTCCAAGGCTATGTGGTAAATAAGATAACCATATCCCCAAATATTCCTTCACACTGCTTTATGAGGAGGGTAACATTTCTTACAAACCTCTTGAAGTAACACTGTCAAATAC